TGAGCCCGCCCTTGATAGGCGCGTGGAGCCTGACGATGTCGCTGAGGTCGACAAACTGGGCCGGGGTGCCGCGATCGTTCAGGATGGCGGCCATGTAGCGGCAGCTCAGCTTCTCGCCCTTGCTGATGATCTTGTCCTCGGCGCGGTTCGTGACTTCCTCCAGGTGCTGCGCGGATTCCAAGATCTTGACGAGGCTCTCACACTCGGCATTGACCTCCTCCGTGTACGACGCCAGGATGTCCGGGTTCCTCAGGATGTCCTTGCCGGCCTGGATGTGGTCGGTGCGGATGGCCTCGACGATCTCGTCATAACCGCGGTGGTTGGGCTTCTCGGCAGCGCGGGCGGCACGAAGGAGGCGGTTGGTGGTTCCCTCGAGCTTGGTGTTGCTGCTGCGTGCGGAGCAGACAATGGCGGCGCGGTTCGTCGCAAGACCAGCTCTGTGTACTGTCAGCGCCTTCCATCTGGTGGGGGTTGGGATGGGTCGCACTTGACGATGCCCGCTATGTTCTCCGCAAACTTGCCCACGCTCGTGCCCCCGAACTTGAGGACAACCCAGCCGCCAGGGAGGTGCTTCTCTTCCGTGTGAGCTATCCGCTCCGACTCGTGTGTGGTTCCGTTTGTGTATGCAGACATGGTAGTGTTTTGTGGTTTCTCCAAGCAATTGGCGAGGTAAAGTTTCCTAGATGTTGGTATATATCGATGATATATGGAAGACGTGTTATTTTCAGTAAATGACGTGTGTTGTGTCGTGTGAAGTCTGGAGTAGCGGAGTGAGGGAATTCTCAATGTCTTTTAGTGGGGCCTGAGTCAGAAAGTCCATGTTCGCGCCCGCAATCGGCGCCGGCGCTGCTGACGCCATGCCAGCGAACCACGACTCCACAACCCAGGAACATGCACACACACACCTCAACGGAACGGATCGGTGCATGCGCATGTCCTCCCGGTAGCCAATGGTGCGCTCGCTATTCAGCTACTGCGCCTTTGTCCGCACCCTTCGCAGCCCACGTCTCAACACCACGTCCTCTGGTGCCTCTGATACCTGACAGCTCATTCCTCTTCGGCCCATCGGCTATTCGTCCTCTATGTCTTGTGCACCACCTGTGCGACACTTGAGTAATCACGGTATTATCTAGCCATCTCTAGTCAGCGGCGAATTGATCCGAAGATGTCCACGTCCATACATCGGGAACATGAGTCTGGAAATCCGTCGCTCATCAACGACGTTGCGTGAATCAAGATGGATCCCCCGATCAGGCATGATTGCATCAACTACACGAATTTCTATGAGCATAATCTAAGAAGAACCAAATGCCGTCTAACCCGCTTCGCTAACACTAGTATACTCTAGCAGATCTCGAAAGGTTGCCTCATCCTCAATCTCGAGCGCCCGACTTTGCAGGCTTTCCAATTCCCTCTGGCTGTAGCTACCGCGCGCCAATAATCTACCAACAATCCTTCGATATCCTTTACCAACTGCTTCAGTCAGAGCGTTCCCTATCTCTGCATCGTACTCTAGAAGAAGAGAAACAACAGCAAACTGTCCATACCGTACTGCTGTCTCCAACGCCGGTTTACATGTATCCGCACCATGTTCTAGCAACACCCGAACTACCTCCTCATGTCCGTTCCTACAAGCGCCTAGAAGGGGTCGCTTCTCGTACTCACTAGACGAACCGAAGCCGTCAATACGGGCACCAAGTGCAAGATAACGCACCGTCATATCCACCCACCCATTCTTCGCGCTACGCACTAAGAATGCCGTGTATTCCTCAACACCAAACGTCCTGGTAACGCAGTGTTCTATTCGTTTCTTGACAAGGAAGTCATAAATCTCCAAACTTGGTGTGTCCAGCGAAGCCAACGCTCGTTCGTTCTGACACCAGTAGGAAGGCCTCTTGGTCTTTCTGTCAAGCATCCACGGACGTTCCACAGCCTGGAAATTCCACAAGAACTGCGTCGTTTCTACACGTCCATGCTTGGCGGCCTGTTGGAGCAAGCGCATTCGCATATACTGAAAGTCATAGGGATGCCTCAAGTCCAGCATAGCGGCAAGAACCTCATGATTGCTGAAACTACCAGCGTGGAAGCATGCCGATCCAAAGAGCAAACTTGGCTTATTGAATTGGTTTCCGTGGAGAATCCATCTCGCGAGAATAGGGAGTGTCTGTGTGTACAGGGCAGCAATATACACATCGGTGTCCAGATCATTATCATATAAACGCCCGTCATGCCAGTGCTCAGGTAAGTGGGTTTCACGCCAATGCTCAGCTAGGTCTGTTGTCCATAGTTCGTCTAGGCGCTTGAATTCCCGCAACACAAGGGGGCATAGCTGACGAATGTAGTCGTGCTCGTTTCGCTCATCGTCAGTCTCTTGGCTGAGACGGTTGGCAACGCTGCGGATCCAGAGAAGAACAGGAGCTCCGTCACATCGCTCGTTCAATATCCGGCGCTCAAGATAAGCTATAAACATCGTAGGTGCAGCCTTGTCGCTAAGATGTAACAGAGGCCTGAATTCGGCATCCAGAAGCTTGTATAGGGCAAGTACCCTCATAATTTCCGCGTCGAAGATCTCTATAGCCGCTCGTTAGCAGAGGTACCTGCGCACAAGATGTCAGAGGGAAGCCTACTATTCACAAGCCGTAATCGAAGGCCGCGCTTCGTTCCCCGCACTAAAATCGCCCAGCCAAGGATTTCGTGCAAAAGCTCCAATGGCAGATCTAGCAGATGCATGGTGTATGGAGTGGTCGGCTTTGTAAAGAAAATTTGCTGCTCGGGAGGAGAAGAAGATTTAACAAGCACGTAAAGCGTTCAGCGGCTCTTGTTGTTGGAACGCATTCGCGCCCGAAAAAGCGCGCTAAGAGGACCCCGGAAACCACTTGATTGGCTACTAGTAGCGGTGCACGTGCGGCGTAAGCTGCTGCCTGCCATCACCGTTCCGACCTGAACAACAACCATGTCGTAGGTGGTTATACAATTACACGCGTCCCATCGTCATGCCATTGCCTGCTCGCATCCTGCTGAGACCCAGCAAATTTCAGCGCACAGTTCCAGAGCCAAGATGCGGCACAGCTCCCAACATGGCCTGTTGGCCAACGATTTACGCCTCTTCACAGCTCAGATCTCTGCGCACACACGGCACAGACACCTTCGCAAATCAGATGGCACAGATTGAAGAATCATGCAGGGGAAATCAATCCGTTATGCCGTCTATCGGCACGTCAGTATCTAACATATAGAGCCTGCTGCTGCCGACGCGTTGTGATTGAAGTGTCTAGCCTTGACAGATACTCCTCGCTCGAGGGCTCGTAATCCTCACGTCCGTTGCAGCTCCTATATCATTACTCTCGTCTACAGATTGCTGTCATGGCAGGTATTGATGATGTTCGCTACACGATATCGACAACCAAACTCGAGGGCCTTCCGACGACCGGTTGGGATACGACAAGTCCTTGGGGCCCACTTACGACTCCATGGACTCTCCCATCTACATGTTCCACCAGCTGGGCATTACGAGGCTACGGCTCTGGTGAATATCTTACACCTATCGTGCCTGCAGCCTGTTTGCCTGGTGCATCGAATATACACAGCCCCGGTACATGCTATGGCGACTACCATATCGTGGCGATGATCGAATGGAGGACACCAGATTGGACGTCGGGGGGTAGTCGCGTGTTTGGTGTCGCTTGTTGTGAAAAGTAGGTGCACATGCTCGGCCACAACGGGTCTCTTCATTATCAGTTGTCTCGTGCTGACACGGAGATTAGTGGCTTCATCAACACATTGACTGATGGTGCCCGGTGCTGGTCAACGTTCTCCACACCTATGACTGCGTACCCCGTCGGATGGGTACAGTCCAGAAGCCAGGACGTGACCCAAACAGACAATGCCACAGTCCTCGATAGTGGGTCCGTATCTATGTCGCTCATGGAAGCCTACTGGCAGGAATCAGATCTCCCGAAATTTGATCCTGACTATGCGGCCATACTCGCATCGAAATTTGATCTTGACTTTACTCCGACAGCTATAGCCACAGCCGATGGCACAGCCGAAACAGCGTCGCCACCAGGTCGAAGTCAACTCACCTCAGCCACGTCGACCGTCGAGACCGACTCTCGAGAAGCTACCGGTCTCAGTAGCGGCGCTAAGGCAGGCATCGGCGTTGGAGTAGCCTTTGGAGTGGTTCTACTTTGCGCCACTGGTTTCTTACTTCACAGGAGACGCGTTCGGAAGGTGAATCTCGATAGCAAATCTGCTTTACAAAACGAACAACCTGAGTTGGTTCAGACGCGCGCCGCATAGCTGGCAGTGTTGACAGTCTTACGGTAGCTTCCCACACAAATTAAGGAGACAACCCGAGCCATACGTCCTTGCGTCCCGGTATGCTGGATCCCTGCGGCTGTGGGACAAGATGCGGCACAGCTCCAAGCAACGCCCAGCAACCAATAAAACAATCTTTCCCCGAGTCACACTAGACTTTGCCTCCTCCGCACATGTCGCACAGTCGCCTCACCGAATCAAGAACCAGGTCCTAAGTCACCTTGCAGGGAGTACTAACGCATTACATATACGCGCTGGAAATGAAGAACCCGATCCTTGCATATGGTACGGCTGCGCTGCTGCGATACAATCTTAGGGCACATCGATCACTACCGACTTCTTCCTACATCACTTGCTTCCACATTTGTCACCATGGCAGGCCTCGACGAGGCCGGTTTCACAATCAAAACACTGCGACAAGGAGACGTCTTTCCGACGACAGATTATTTACATTCATATTCACCACTTCCGACCTCATTCACATTCGAGTCGACGTGCACCGACCAGTGGACACTTCTGAACCCAATCACCCCCACGAACATATACTACCCCATTCCGGCATCATGTCAACCCAACGGCGAAACCGATTCCACTTATAGTCCGGGCACATGTATCAGTAACTACCACATGGTTGCCCTGACCGAGTATAGAACTACAGGGTGGACGTTAGGGGGTCAGCGCGCATGGGGTGCTGTTTGTTGTAGAGAGTAGGTCTAGATCAAGCTGTCACAGCGCTACTCCAGCTGACCATAATCACAGCGGAATGACTGCAGGAGGCTCGGTGTTAGCAAGTTACTGTAGCGCCAGCTTCAGCTTCAGCACTCCCTACATCACGGCGACATACGGTAACAATGCCTATCCTTCCAGTATCCCTGCTGCCAATCGAACCGCTACAATAGTCCTTGATGAAGGACTCATGGGAATGAGCCCCATGGTTGTCTACTGGCAAGAGACCGATCTCTCGCTATTCGATCCCGAATATGCGACGAAACTAGCCTCGAAACTTGGCCTAGACTTCACACCGACGGGCACAGCAGCTGTCACCGCCGAAACTGCGTCGCCGCCAGACCGGAGTCAACCCCCATCGGCCACTTCTTCAGCGCAACTAGGTTCGGATGCAGGCGAAGGGTCATCGCAATCAGATCTCAGTATCGGTGCAAAAGCAGGGATAGGCGTCGGCGTCGCCATCGCAGTGATACTAGCGGTTGTTGTCGGACTCGTACTGTACAGGAGACGAGTGCGAAAGCAGAGGGCACTCGATCAAACGTTGGCTAGACAAAACGAACAACCTGAACTCGTGCAGACACGCGCTGCATAGCTTCACCTGGCCGATGGCTACTTGTTCCGAAGACCTCCATATCCCTACATGGAGATAATGCAGTTGGGACTCGGCCGGTTGAACTGATACGGGATGCGCTCTCGTTGGTCTGCGCCCATCCGACACTCTACACTTGACGGTTCCTTTTCCTTGCATTGCCAGTCCCATATTGCAGCGCTATTATCTATTTGTGATCTGAGCTGGGATTCCCTTGACCGCACAGTGCAGTTCTTTGTCTCGCATCTACCCGCTGCCATATGCGGCGGAATCAGCCTCGATGCTGCGGGAATGTAATGCGGCCAGGTGTGATTACAATAGAATGACCAATGGCAGACACTTGCCACCACTCATGTTCCCTGCGCGTATACGGCACAGCTACTCCCGCAGATCACGTTGTATGCAAAGGCCACAAACGCGGTTTGCGACGTGTTGGTACACCGGTATCGGTTAGAGAGATCGCCATCACCGACGCGTTATGATTGAAAAGAGGTTGTCTACAAAGGCTGCTAATCTAGCATGATACAACAGATTTGATTCCATATCAACTCCATTATCACCCCGTCCGTAAGCTGTGCATCATGGCAGGTCTTGAGACTGCTCGCCTTACGATCAAAACGGTATCACCAGGGCGATTCTTTCCGACGACACCTACGAACCCTATTGTCACTTGGCCACCACTCACGACTCCCTTCACGTCTCCATCTCATTGCACCAACCAATGGACAATCCTTACCTCGGGTGACACGACTGTCAGGAACGAACCAGCCCACGAGGACTGTTTACCTGGCGGATCATTTACGCACAGTCCGGGTACAGTCCTCAGTGACTACCATATAGTTGACGTAGCTGAGTATAGAACAACGGGGTGGACAACAGGCGGACTTCGCGCTTGGGGAGCCGCCTGTTGTAAAAGGTACGTCTTATCACAAACCTGGCGCACAACTGCACATAAGGAGGTCAAGACTTGAGCAAAGCGCACTTTTACTAATACCGACGGCAGTGGTTGGACGAATACAGAAACCATCGAGAGTTTCTTCCATTGCTTTTCATCCTTCACCACACCCATCACCGCATTGGACCCTTGGGCTGGAACTGGCCGTGAGTATAGAACCACCACTACCGTACTCAGCCGGGGGCGAATGGAGGATTACAATATGCTTATCTACTGGATGGAGTCCGACTTATCCAAATTCGATCCCGAGTACGCGGCGACGTTGGAAGAGAGGTTTGCCATCGGCACGAGCGCAGAACCCGCAACTGTTACTGCAGGAAGCACGTCATCTGATTCATCTCTTACGTCGACTGCAACAATGGCCGTTACGAAAGACACGGCAGCACCGTCAGCTCGAACCCAATTCACCTCGGGAACATTAACATCGTCGTCGTCATCGGTGGCACCAAACTCCAAAGAAAAGGCCGATAATTCCGATTTTGAGCTCAACGCTCGCGCTAAGGCTGGCATAGGCTTAGGAATTGCCATCGCGGTAATACTGATGGGTATTGCTGGATTTGTAATGTACAGGAAAAAAGTCCAGAAGCAACGCGCCCTAGATAAAAAGTTCGCTAAACAAAATGAGCAGCCAGAGTGGGTGCAAAAGCAGAGGGCTTAGCCGACAGAATGGATGAGGTACGCTCCCTCTACTGGGAAGCCTTCGGATTTACGATTTGCTATAGGCCGATTGTGTTAGAGATGCTTAGAAGAAAGAGGATGAAAGATTGGTGCTGAGTCCATGTGCACCCCGTACAGGAAAAGGCTCAATAGGCCTGCAGACTACATCATGATGGAATGATGCAGATTGTGTGACCTAACGTTGATATAGGCTTCCCAGGGTCTTCAGGTTTATCCTGGGTTGACATGCATGGGTGGAGGAAGCTTGTATAATGATGGTGGACATTCTCTCTGCAACGCGTACGCAACACGTATCTACTCTCGATGTATTGCTTGCTAAAATCGTAGTGCACAGCCAGGATTGCGCTTTTCAGGCACGCAAGCGATACCGTATCCCGTAACATTGGCCAATGCCGCATGGAGTAGATCCCTGTGTGCTTTCCCGCCCTTTGCCAATCGCCGTCGACCTATTAGAGCCCAGCAATATCGAACGTACAGTTCCTGGACAAAGACGTGGCACGTCCCTCAACGCCCTCAATCCTGCACACATGTGGCACAGCTCCCTTCACAAATCAGATGCGGCTCATCGAGCCACCACGCATAGGGTAGCGGCGCGCTCTTTTACGCATTTGGAACGTCGCCACCGACCCGTTATGAGCAATGTATCCAGCCCTGGCAAATACTTGACGTGGGCTTATTACAATGTTTCTACGTCCATCCGGGAACTGTTGTCCACAGAGTTGCTATCATGTCATCAAACATCGATGATGCTTCTCTTGCCATCTATACAGTATCAGGAGACCAATATCCGCTAGTAAACACATTCAGTACTGTCCCGCCGCTCACCACTCCCTTCACTTTCAAACCGACATGTACCGAAGGCACGAAGTTTCAGGACCCGGGTCAACCCAGCCGTGTCCACAACTTCATTCCCCTCTACTGTCAACCCGATACCACCATGACGCATAGCCCGGGCTCATGTGTTAGGGGCTATCAGATAAAGCAGATAGTCGAGTTCCGAACGCCGGATTGGACGTTGGGCGGATTAAGGGCATGGGGAGCTGCTTGTTGTAGAGAGTACGTGTGATCTTTTGGCTGTCGAGGCGATTACCTCGGATATACACCTGGCCTGGCCTTGACTGGGATTGCTCTTGCTAACACCCTCGATAGTGATTACATGGCAACGGCATCTGACGCAACAGAGTGTGTATCAGCCATAGATACGCCCATCACCGCGTATACCGTGGCAGACGCGACCTTGCCAACGAATGCCGCTGGGCAAGAAATACCCGAGAAACCCTCCATCATCTCCAGCGGCACGGTCATCATGCAACCGATGTTAGTCTACTGGCAAGAGTCAGATCTTGTTCACTTCGATTCCGACTACGCGTCTACACTGGCCTCGAAATTCGATATCGGTTTTACACCAACAGCAACAGTGGGTCCGGCAACAGAAAGACCAAGACAAACGACAGTATCACCGCAATCAGACTCCACACAAGGAACAGCATCACCTCTAGATCAAACCCAACTCTTCTCCGCGACGTCATCACGACCTACAATAACCTCCGCAGCACCTACTAGCCCCTCGAAACCAGGCCTCAGTACAGGCGCCAAAGCAGGCATAGGATCAGCTGCAGTTGTTGCAGCAATATTACTATTAGTCGCCATTGGATTTGTACTATATAAGAGATGGCTCCATAACAAGGCAGGACTAGACGGGAAAGCTGCTGAATTGAATGAACAGCCGGAGTTTTTGGATGCGGATCTGGTGCGTTGGAGAAGAGACAAGGGAGCGGGGTTGTGAGCGCGGTCAATATGGATGCACTGGTTACGACGCAGAAGTGAGGGGATGCGATGTTGCCAGCGAGACCATGCAGAAGGAGGTCGGCGGGGCTTCTTCGCGAGCTGGGTTGAGATGGGAATGTAATGAGATATGGGCGCAGATAAACAATCCCACTTCTAGTCGCATCTCGCGCGTTTTGGGATATGACCATGTTGATAGATTGTTACAGGAAGTTGCGCCTTGATATCTGTCTTCCTGATGTCTGGTCGGAACGTAGTTGTGTCATGTGATCAGGAGCCATGCCAACGTCCGCCTCTATGTCAAAACAACAGTAGCTCACCAACCACGTCACCGAGCCCATCGAACCATGCTTGCACCCACGTGAGACCATGAAAGGCGTCGAATAGCGTGGCATGCATCACCCGCAGCCGTTTAGCGCGCTGATCTCCCGTCGCGGCGAGCGCATCTCCTGATTGGCTACTTTGATACTACGCATTCGGCGTTCTCACTCGCATAGAAGCAAAGCACAACGGGCGTTTTGTGATTCTCGCTGGCCGTTGTTGTGTTGAAGGTGCTGACTCTGCACACTATCTGGTGATATCGTATACGTCATCACACGCCTAAACTAAACCGCATTGAGCGCACTACGAGACACCTTCTGAAAGCGCGAACGGCATGGGCTGGAAGCCGTGGAAGCCGCGATACGTAGCTTCAAAACACAGCCCTGGAGAACTCGAAGACAATCGCTTCGTTTCCATAGCAGAGAAGCTTCCCCTACCCTTACGGCCCAGCTGCCTTTCTTGTGATTTTCAGCTGCCCACCATGAACTACATCTCAAGTACAGCTCCCCTACCACCACAATCCCACCACCCCAAACTAACACCCCAGACCTCGTCAACTCGGACGACATCATCAACCCCCTCATCGACAATGGATACCTCCCCCACCCGGTCATTCGCGTCGGTATCCGGCGCCAACTCGCCGACCGCCTCACCTCTATCGCCAACACATCCCTCCAGGCGAGCTATGAGTCCAAGATGAAATACGTTGAGCTACTCCGCGAACGACCCATTGCCATTGAGACCAAGACAGCGAATGAGCAGCACTATGAAGTCGGAACGAGTGTGCTGAAGGGTATGCTGGGCCCGCGGATGAAGTACTCTGCGTGTTTGTATGAGAAAGGTGGGGAGACGTTGGGGGAGGCGGAGGTGAGGATGATGGAGACGTATGTGCAGAGGGCGGGGTTGAAGGATGGGATGACGGTTTTGGATCTGGGGTGAGTTCTCGTCCTTTTCGTTCTTTTCATCCTCTCCTTCATAATTTCGATCATTTCCGCACTAGATCTCGAAGACGGCATATTACGAACACGAGATATCACGTGCCCCACTAACATCCCCATCCACAGTTGCGGCTGGGGCTCCCTCTCCCTCTACCTCGCCGAAATCTTCCCCAACAGCCGCATAACCGGTTTCTCCAACTCGCGCACACAGAAACAGCACATCGACTCCGTCGCCGCCGCTAAAGGCTTCAAGAACCTCACTGTCGTAACCGGCGACGTGGTAGACCATGAATTCGACCCCGAAGTCTACGACCGCGTCCTCTCCA